AAAAAAGTCTTCTGCTTTACTCCTGAACATCAAGCAGCCACGCTGTTGGGATTAATGTAATGAGCATTGAGTCCTGTACCAAAATTGTGCAAGGGGGATATGGAGATAACGAACAATATTCAATCTCAAAGTTCAAAGAACAATACAAAATAAGAGCAGAGCAAACACGGACCCGAGACATCAGATGTGGGATCAGGTGCCATGGAGGAGTGAGCATTCCCTGCCTACCGATACACGGCGTGTGCTCCTTGTCATGATCAGGAAATAACCGAAAAAATCCGTCGTCGTCGTGAAAATCATGGCCCCAGGGTCAGGGGTTCTCGAGTTAGGGTGGGGCTTTATAGATTATATTGTGAACATGCATTATTTCTTTGAAAATCTTCTTTGCTCCTGGGTGTAAAATAAAATAAGTACATAGTTATGATGTCTTTCAACGCAATAGGTGTCTTGACGTTACGACCGAACCTGGTGACGCACGGTTTGGAACTGGATGTTTGGTTCGCGACGGGTATCTTATGCCAACTAAAGGCGGCGTTCCCGGTGCGTTCGTTGACGACGTTACGTCTGGCGGCGTTTCCGTACTGGCCTTCTGTAACGCTACCTCCTCCTCCTCCTCTTCTGGGAGAGTACTATAAACGGTCTAGAGATAGGGGAGGATTCTGATTGGCTGAGCCGCTGAGAGGGTTGGATTCTGATTGGCTGGGGATAGGGAGGTCAAGTCAGTACAGTCCCACTGGGAGGATACGGAGTGCAGGTTGGGGGTCTGGGGGTAGCCGGGTCAACTCAGTACAGTCCTTGGGGTAGGGCTAGGTGGGTCAATTCAGTACAGACAAGTTTATATTACACTTTTAGTGCCAAGATAACATATTCTGAAATTTGTTTTCACCTGAAAACCTTTATTGAATGTGATTTGTCTATATTCGTTTTTTCATAGAAATATTACTAACATTTTTCAAGTCTTTTTCATCTTCCGTTCTTAGGAGAAAAAAATCTAAGAACCATCCACATTTCTAAACTTGAGACATGATATTTAATATTTTTCAAAGAAAAAAATTGTATCATCTGTCCTTAAAGGACTAGACACCTTAAAGAAGTTCATGGACTGGTTATTACAAACCACTACAGGTACTAAGAATTCCACTTTAGTACACGACAAGGCCATCGTCATCGCCCATAACTTCAAAGGATTCATTTTGAATCACCTGGTGCATTCGACTTGCCTAAAACCTAACGTTATCATGAACGGTAGTAAGATCTTGTTCATGGAAATTTGTGGACTGAAATTCATTGACTCGTATAATTTCTTACCGTTTGCTTTGGCCAAAATGCCCTCGGCTTTCGGATTCACCTAACTCGAGAAAGGCTATTTCCCCCACTTTTTCAAAACGGAACAGAACCAGAATTACGTGGGGCCTTGTCCACCGTCAGCTTTCTACAATCCGGACGAAATGTCTATCAGTGGACGACAGGCTTTTTTTGAATGGTACGAACAACAGACCGGAAAAGTGTTTGATTTCCAGAAGGAGTTTGTAGAGTATTGTGTCTTGGATGTCGACATTTTACAACGATGCTGTGCACAGTTTAGAGCCACCCTCAAGACTTTGGTCAATGTGGACCCTTTCCAGGAATCCATCACTTTAGCCAGTGCTGCCAATTTAGCCTACCGTCGACAATTTATGCCTGAAGACACCATTGCCATCATTCCGAACCTGGGGTATCAACCGGCACGACAGTATTCGGCCAAAGCCTGTCGGTGGCTCACCTGGATGAGTCAACAGACCGGATGTCACATACGCCATGCCAGAAACGGGGGCGAAGTCCAGATCTTGAATAAGTGTGTGGCCATTCATTTGAACAAACTTGAATCCCTTTCACCCAAGATGCGAGGTCGCAAGATTTCTTGACCCACTAGTTTTGGAGAAGAAGTCAAAAATGTGAATACTAGTAGTTTACAGACAGCTAGACAGATGGACGTCGAACAAAATGTGATTAAAAAAGCTCACTTTTTAGCTAAGGAGAGCTAACAATTATTCAGTCCTTCTTCTTCCTCCCCCCTCCTAATCGCTGTGGAGCATACTTCAGGAATTTTCCCAGGTCCTCATTAAATTTTGACTCTGTATACTCCTTATGGGAGGATAATACGGCATCTGGAATACATAAGTTTTATTACCGGTAGCAATTAACGAAATGAAATCATTTTTTATCGTCTTACGCACATCTTAATTGGGAGATACAATACTACTTACAATCTACAAACCGATAAGAATGAACTAAGATTTTCTTTTTAATTTACAATTTAGTAATAATTTTTCCATTGTGAAATATTCATGGAACAATGCTCAAATATGGAAGCGTAAGGACATAAGCAGCATAGTTTCAACTTTAAATCTCAGTTTTCCAGTTTAATATGAAAGTCTGAATAATTGAAAGACCTTTTTGAAATTGTTTTTAAAAATCAATATTTCCTATAATTCAAAAATTGGAAATTACTAGCTAAAATTACATTCATGTTAATTCTTCTTAAAAAATAAAGCATTGTCATAATTTTGAATTTTATACATACACTATATTATATGTACATACCTTTGATAAGCTGGTATAGTAGTGAGGAAGCAAATGCCCTTTGTCCCCATTTGCCCTTCATGTTCATTCCTGCCATGTATGAGTATGTTATGGTTCTTGAAATGTATAACAATCATATTGAAAAAGATTTCATGTAGTTTTTAACATATTCCTTTTAAAATATACTTTTTGAAAAATTAATTATCATCTTTTATGCTCAAATGTCAGACATTTACCTCAGCATTGACTTCTTCATTTGGTACCCTGTGGGGATCCGGGTTAGAATGGGTCCTCAGTACCCCCTTGCTTGTCGTAAAAGGCGACTAAATGGGGCGGTCCTTCGGATGAGACCGTATAAACCGAGGCTCCGTGTCACAGCAGGTGTGGCACGATAAAGATCCTTCCCTGCTCAAAGGCCGTAAGTGCCAAGCATAGGCCTAAATTTGCAGCCCTTCACCGGCAATGGTGACGTCTCAATATCAGTGAAATATTCTGTAGAGGGGCGTTAAACACTATACAATCAATCAATCTTCATGTGGTCATTGCATCTTCACCTCTTACCTTATGTAGCAAGAGTTTCTGAAATAAAATTGCTTTCAGTAGTTACTTGATTCTCTTCAGACATGCTTAATATTTTGTTAGTAAGTTTGATAAGAAGTTCATTTAAGAATTAATGAGTATGAAAGTTTATCTGCATTATCTTTGAGGGATCAAAACATGAGAAGATACATATAATTTACAAATACGTACGAAGTTGGATTTAAAGTTTGTAGACTAAAGTTTGTCTTCCAAGTTATTACATGTAAATGCTTCGTCCGAATTTATGATATCCAGTTCAATGTCTTCCACCTCAGTGGAAGATATTGCTGTTCTGCTATAATTTAATGTGTCTCTTATCTCCACTAAAAGGTAGAGGACCCTTATTTGAAATCCTACAATAAAAATTATCAAATAGGTAATATGCAACATTATATGAATTAATAAAAAAATTATTCAGCTGAAATTGTAATATGCCTTAATAAACATATTCCTTTTCTACTCACTTTCTTCCGTCATAGGAAATATGTCTGTTGAATGCTGTACTTTTCTTTGAGAAGCTCGTTGGAGCGTTGGTAGGCTGGTTTCTTTTTGGTTTCTGTTTCTTGACCTTTCAATGTCTCTTGATCTTGCAATTGACCTCTCATAACATGTAGACTTGTAGTATCTAGATCTACTTACTGACCTTTCACAGCTTCTAGACCTATTATAAGATTTTGACCTTGATATTCGTGACCTCTCAGGACTCATTGACCTTGACCTGTTCAATTACCTTTTAATCTTGAAATCCTTGATACATTTGATATGTCCTTGTAAGACTACTGGACCTTGACATTCCTTACAATGACATTAACTTTGACCTTGATCTTCTTGACATTTCAGGACTCTTCGACCTTATTGACCTGTTCAATGACCTTTTAGGGGTTCTTGATCTTGAAATTCTTGATACATTTGATGTCCTTATTGAACTTCTTGACCTTGACATCTCCGACTTTGAGGATCTTCTTGATCAATGTGAAGACCTTACCGGACTTCTACTTCTTGACCTATCAGACCTATTAACAGAACTTTCTCTGCTGAAGCTCAAGGAACTAGCACACGACTAGCAGGGTGTTAAGGATCTCGACTCTCTTGATGGAGATCTTGACATTGACAATTCAAAAGATGGTCTGGTTTTATCCGATGACGTTTTCTTTGAAGGTATTGGTGGTGCAACCAATCGGTCAGCACAGTTTAAGCATGCAGCGATAGAATGATCATTGAAAACGCGCCCCGGCATTTCATTTATATATACTTGCATGAATTTTGGCAGTTGATTAATAATCTGAAGTAATTAATCTTTGTAAAATAACTTAAATGGAGGTAAGTATATCCTAGCTGTAATTACGTTACTTACTCTGATTATTTTCTCACCCCCCACCCCCCTCAAAAAAGGGAGGGTTGCATTATTCCAGATAGACTTTATCCTGTTTTGCTTTTATTCAAATGAGACAATACAACAAAAATTAATTATTTGAAAATGTTTTGTAAATAATGTGTATAAATGTTTTTTGGTCGACGTTCTTAGGATAATCTGCTGTAAATCCGACGTTGAAAATTTGTCGCCTTTCAAAGAGGTACTGTGACTGTTCCGCCATCTGACGTCACCTTGTCAGCAGGTCGTACCACAACACAGTCGCACAGATATTACAACAACAAAACGTGGGTAACAGACAATTTGATGGCAAAATTCGGAGGTTACTATATTATATTAGTTAAATTGAAATTTCTTATAACATGACTGTTTCTGTAGGTTGCATTTGGATACAATGTAGGACAAGCCATCGTTTACTTTTGTTTGCTGATGTGTCATCAATAAAAATATTCACAGACAAGGTCCAAACAGGCAATGGTCTCTCACCAAATGGAGACAAGACAAATTTTCATGCTGGCAAAAGAACTATATGCAAAATTTTAGTGTGTCACTTATCCAGCTTAAATGCAATTGTGAAAAGCTAATTCAGAGTGCATGCTGAAGTTGTAGAAAATGGATCGACGTTCACAGGGTATCATATTTGTCTTGTACACACTTACATTCGAAGGCCTGTTTAGACATACATCTCCAATTACATGTACTACCCAGCCTAGTCCATTGATTGATTGTATATAGTTTAACGTCCTTCTCGAGAATTTTTCACTAATATGGAGACGTCTCCAACCTAGTCTAAGCTGAAGCTGTATATTAACAATTGCGTATGTCATAAACAAAATCACTAAATTACAATGTAACGGGTAATTAAAAGAATAGGAAAAAAATTAATTTATGTTTACAAGTATGAGACTTTAGAACACATTAATTCAAAATGTATGAGGTTCAGTAGAGAACATCTTTAATGTTGGTAACATGCACCACTCTCCACTTGCTGTTGGGTCGCTGTCGCATAAGATGTTCTAAGAGATCTGATAGTTAAATCTCCCTCTCATTTTTTGTCAACATCTTCCAGACTACCAATTAATGTTGGTCTCGGGAAGAGTGTTTCATTCCTATCAGGTATGAAATAACGATAGTCTCCCGTCTCAATATTCTGCAAGATAAATTCAACAGATCTAGATATATTAAATCTGAAGGACATTTTCTCCTCCTCTGTAATTTTCTCCAGCTTAGAGACAATGTCTACAAAACAACGAATTATCCACCGGGCAGTTGGTGGTCTTTTTCACTACACCGTTTTCTCCTTCCCCGAGAATGAACTCTTTATTTGCCATGTATGTGGCCTTCAAATTCTCGTCGCCTCCCAAGGAGCAGGTTCCTCTGTGCCCCTCTGCGGAAAACTTAAATCTACCCCATTGCTAGTTTGATGTGCAGATCTCTGATGTAGATAGAGATTCTTTCTATCGGGGAAGGATTGGTTGCATTTTTCTGCAGCTAAGACCACGCGCCTTCTCTGGTTTCTTTTTATTGTCGTGAAACATTTTGTGATCGTTCAACTACCGCTCGTTATGTGAGACGTGGTCGCATTTCTGTCATTTTATCCCCTTTCCTTTATTCTGAAAACAACAACAACAGTATAAATTCACAAAAAGATTGTCAGATGAAACACATGCACAAACAATTCACTGTACAATTATTTTAACTTACCTTTTTTTTGGTGAGCTGCTTCGTCCGTTTACATATATGCAAATGCTTTCTGATATTTTGGGCATTTAAATGCCTTTTTCCATGTTTTGCGGCTATATGCACATTCAGTTCATTCTTCCGGACAAAGGACTTCGTGCAATTGGGACATTTGAATTTGAATCTTGATGACCTGTCCACATAGGGTTATATATCAATCTTATTTCTATAATTTAAACAACATACATGTATATATGACAGTTACACTAAAGAAATAATAATTAAAAAAAAATCATCATTTAGACTCTCCTCCTGGATCTTGTTCCGCGCATGACGGGGAAGATATTTCCGCTGCACCTTCCTGTTCTCTGCACAGAAAAAAAATATGCTAAATGCTGGTACATTAGTAATATGCAAAGAATTTTTCTACATGTTCTGTGAAGATATATCGCTTAGCAAATAATTCATAGAAAGATGTACAAATTAAAACAAGGCTATGTTTACATTATCAACAGACGACAAGTTTCCAGTATGACAGCTTCAATAATTACAAATAAAACTGCTTTCAGCCTCTAAAAAAGATATAAACATATAGAGATAATAATTTTAAGAATAATTAAGTGTTTACAAATAGATACATACTCTGTGATAGGCCTAAATTATGGTGAATTTGTAACTGGCGTTTAACCACGTTAACGAATGGCGGGCTTCTATGCAACAATTTTACCAAAGAAAACAAAAACAAAGGAGTTCTTACATGAAAAATCAATAAGTAAAGAGAGATAACTCTTAACTCTTGACAGAACAGTGGTGTAATGAATGCAGGTAGTGGTGTAATTGTGTGGTATAAAATTCTTAAGTCTAAAAATGTGAAAAATTAAATAAAAATATTTATTTGTTACGCTCTGTAATTATTACAAGGGGCATAACTTGTGTAAATTTATTGTATTATAATTGATTTGTACCATTTACAAGTATGTATCACTACTGACTTTTATGAACGAAAATGAATTTAAATAATATACATACATTCAGAGTGGTCAGAACTGAGAAGTTAAGGGAGATGGATCCTTTCCATGCTGACAACTCATCACAGTTTGCTGCGAGTACAGTGTCTGTGGGGGGAGGGGGGAGGGTTTGGCCCACACTCTCCCCCACAGTTTGCATGTCACACTGCAGGAGCCTCCCAGGGACTGAATGAGCAGCTCCCTGCGTTTGGAGTTTGGCGACTCAATAATGTCTGATGCCTGTAAATATTTATGAAAGACATAATTTAAAGTGAAATTTTATTCCAGTGTCATTTTCACTATACAAAGGTGTAACAACACAGAATATAATATGTAATTCAAATTTTACATTTATATCAAGCATCTTTATAATGAGTTTACTATAGTTTACTAGTATTTTTTGGTTAGGGATGACCCAGCCACTTCTTATATTTTTGTCCCTTTTTTGTCTTCTGCTTCAGGTTTTGAAGAGAACTTGGTCGTTGACCTGAAAATCGTGCCTTACTATGTTGTGGCTTCTGTCATAGTTTGTTTTCTGCTTCTGGGCACGGGAAATGTTGTCCTCAGCTTCCTGAAAATTTTTTTTTTGAGAGTCAATTGATTGTTCAATTTGATTTTCAGTAATCTCATTAAAGCTTCCATCTGTCTAGGGCTCAAGTTGGTTTTGAAACCCCATCCTCGGTGTTCGTAGCTCCCTTAGGTAAATTGTAGAGTAGCCGATGGAAGACTGCCTTGTCATGTTGATTGCTGATGTGGTCAAAGTAGTTCGGCCAGTCGTATTCATTGTCTAGAATTCTCTCCGAAGACTCTGCTTCAGCATCTGGTTGGTCCTCTCATCAAGGTCATTAGCTTGGGGATTATATTGCGTTGTAAAAATGATCTTGATCAGAAAGGCAGCTATGGTGTTGGCAGTTTTGTCTCGCACAGCTTCAGCCTCAACCCATTTGGAAAAGTAATCTGTAATAGTAATAACATGTTTATAACCATCTACAGACTCTTTGAAGTTGACCACATTCATACCAGTTTTGTTCCCCACATCATTCGCTACTGGTGTGACTTGCAGAGGGGAGCTCCTGATGTTACAGCATTGCCAGATCTCTGACATCTATCACATGTAATACAGAATAAACCATTTTTACTCATTGTATTGTTTTGTTTGTTATATGCATGGACTAATTAATAGTTTAAAGTTTAATAGAGACAGAGTTAATAGCATGAGTTACTCGAAATGAAGAGTATTTGGTGTCTTCTTTAGACAAGAAGTTTTAGACAGTTAAAATCGGCAAATACTCTATTCCCTGCTATTTTAAGAGCTGTCAAATAATTTTCTGATAATAAATTACTAAATAAATAATGAAAAAAATTAATAAATAAAAAAGGAACTTGTGATGATATATACTATATATAAGTGACAGATGGATCAATATTTGGAAGAATGAGAAGCGATGTAAATTTGTTTTTAAACTCTTAACGGAAGTAATCTCTGCTGTGTAACTGTCATGAAAAAAATAGGGCTATTTATAGATTTTTTAAAAAGTAATACAGCACATGAAAATGCTAAACGGATCATATCATCCTGAGGGGAATCAGTATGGCGTGAATGGTCCACTACAAAAAATGGACACGAATGAAAATAGTTGATTGATTGATATATACTGTTTACCTACTGTTTTATTATACCCCCCGCTTGAAAAGCGGGAGGGTATATAGTAATCGTTAATTCCGTCCGTCCGTCTGTACGTCCGTCCGTCCGTCCGTCTGTTACGCTTTGGGGTACCCATCTCTTATCCGTAACTCCTCTCATACCACTGAATGAAATTTGATGAAACTTTCACAGAATCTTTATTACATATTGCCATTGTGCACCTCCTATTTTACTTTTAGATCCGACACATATTTTGGGTTTCCCGGCCACAGGAAAACATGGACTTTTTCACCAGTTATAACCATATGGGAGGCGGGGGGTATGATTTAGTGAGCTCATTGCTCACAGTACCTCTAGTCTTATCTACTGTTTATATACTGTTTAACGTCCCAATATAAAAAAAATCCCTATTGTGGCCCTGCTCTACTCCCGGAGTCATAATTTGAAAAGTTCAGAACCTACAC